CTCTTCTCTTCTCTTCTCTTCTCTTCTCTTCTCTTCTCTTCTCTTCTTCACACTCTCCCCATCTTTCCTCCTCTTTCTCTATAAATGTATACATGTAATATACATACATACATACATACATATATATATACATATATATATATATAGAATAGAAATGTGTGTCTATATGAGTATATTCCCATCCATCCATATTCAGTCCCAGTCTCATACAGCAGCAGCCCCTGTGAGTAGTGCTCTCTGCTCCACAGCCTCCTGGTCATCGCTGCCATTAGACCTTTCTTTTGGGGGGGGTGGGGGAGGCAGAAGGTCTCTACGTCCATCTAAAATGTTCTCCTCCACCATCTGCTCTTGACATCAGCTTCTTTGGCTGTGTTCTGCCTTGGCTGGGATCTGGACAATGCCCCCCCCCCACCAGGACTGCCCCCTTTCACCTTGGTGTTTAAGTGTGCTCAGGGATCAAATTCAAGGCAAGAAAAACTTTTGAGAAAGGAGAATAAACATACATGCACAAGGAGAAGAAATCCTCCTTATGTGTCCCTCACCCCCTTTGCAGATTAACCTGTTATCCTCTGAATTGAATTGGCAACAATCTGGTCCTGTGTGTCCCCTCTTCTTACCCCTTCTGGAAATGCCATTTGTTGGCCCAATGATGAAATGAAATTCATGGCCATCCATCACTTGGGCTTGACAGGGCCCCCAGGATCAGTGGAATTTTGGTAAGGGAGACCTTACACAAAGATCCAGCCTGACTGCAGCCAGCCCTGGAGGTCAGCTGAGGACCTTGGCAGTCACAGGCCCATGTAGGAAATAGCCATCCACGCACAGCCCCTCCTGCCCAGTGGGGGATTTGGAGCTCACCTTCCCAGAAGTTAGTACTCAGGAAAGACAGGAGTGTTGGGGGAAAATGTGCAAAAAAATTCTGGGGATAAAGTGCCTTGAGAGCAAAGCCACAGGTTGTGAATAGAGAATTTGTATTTTTACCCAGAGACAGGGCCTCAGCTGAGTGATTACTTTGGGAGAGGGGAAGGCCCTGACTTACAGACAGGGAGGGTGTGGCCCTTTTCTTTCCTGTTCCTGGGAATGCATTCTTCAGGGTCTGGGGAAGCAAAAAACTGGGCCCCCTGGGTGCTCACGCAAGCATGCCAGAATCCCCCAATCCCATAGTCTGAGAGCCCGATGGCACCGCAGAGGCTGTCCAGTACAACCTGGATGGGAAAGGAATCCTCATTCTAAGACATTAGTGGAAACCATCCCTGTCAGCCTCAGACCCTTATGGAGTGTGTGTGTGTGTGTGTGTGTGTGTGTGTGTGTGTGTGTGCAAACAATGATATATCGCTACATTGAGAAGGGGCAGGGAACGGCTGTCATTTCCACAGCATTTGAAGTTTGAACATTTAAAATTTACTCCTAAATACCTTGACTCCTGTCCTATGTCATGACCAATAGACAAACCAGTAAATAGTTAATTAGCTATAAACCAAGGCAAGCCTGCCTGCCATATTGAATAGATTATTGGTCTTCTCTGAGCCTCAGTCTCCTCTTCTTTAAAATGGACCTTGGGTGTCCCTTCCAGCCCTGGTGCCAGGGTCCTGGATCCTGGATCCTGTGATGTCAGGATCCCCTAAAGAGTGTGAAGACTTTAGGGCCTGCCGGCTGACCAGAGGCATTTCTACCCTGGGAAGCCATTGTCCTTCTTAATTCCAGGTGTTGCCTTCCCAACACAAACATCAAGTTCTTTCATCAGTTTCCATGGGAGATCTCCCATAGAGTGTATGCTCCCTGAGGGCAGGAACTGTGTGTATTTCCAGGGCTGAGTCCAGCGTGGAACATATTGGTGTCGGAGGTGCACCCATGCAGACTGACACTTTCTCTCTGACTTAACAGTCATGTACACATGCATGCTCAACTGGGCCTACCTTAATTACCGAGGCCCCTAATGCATTCAGGTATGCCTGCAAACATCTCTCTGCTCTACAGCTACCTTCCATTACCTCTTCCCTTGCTGCCAAGTTCCAGTATTGCAATCTCCCTTGTGGGTCAATGGTCTAGAAGAAAAGGAACTGCCACAGTTCTTGGGTTCCAGTCCATCTGTGCTTTTTCACTGGAGACCTCTGGTCTTGGCCACGTCCCTTGGGCTTCTCAAAGCTTGTTTCCCCAGACGACTGCTAAAGTCAAATATGGAGATGCTAAACTGGGTCCTCTTCCATCAGTCCAGTACAGGGCTGAGCTCTCTTCCAGCACTGGTGGCCTGAAAACTCCAGGAGATTGGGGATGGTCTCATATCCATCTTTGTGTCCCTGACACTGAGCAGTGCCCGGCCCATAGTAGACATTCAAAATTGCCTACATCCTTGTCTGATTAAAGGACAAATAACTCAGTATTCATAAAGACACTGTGTGCTCTCGAGAAGATGGGCTTTATTTATTTGTCAATTTATTGGTAACATTTATTAATTCCCTGAACCCTGCTTCAGAGCACTATCCCACTGTCTTGCCTCCAAGACACCAAAGATCTTAGGATTATAGATTTAGAGTGAGAAAGGACAAGACCCTCACTATAAAGAGTAGATAACAGCAGCCCAGGGACATGGCATTGGCCAGGATCCCACAGGCAGTTAGCGGCAGAGCTGAGTTTTCAACTGACATGAGGTCAAAGGTGATGAATGTAAATTGCCTTGTAATCCTTAAAATGCTGTGTAAATGCTAGCTATCAGCATCGTCAGTGTCTCTCCTCCTCCTCCTTCTATTCCTCCTCTTCCTTTTCCTTCTCCATCTCTCCCTGCTCCTCCTCTCATTTCGTGTGACTCCAAGCTCATGGCCCTTTCAATTCTGCTATTTGGAGATATTAAGTCCTGATAGCTAGAAAGTAGTCCATCCTCACTGTGTGTGCATTTCTTTTGACTCCAGGTGACTTTCTGCCCCCTCCACCTCCCCCTCTCGATGACATTGGCAGTCTACCATCTGGCCCTGGCTCCTTCCCCCCGCCTCCACCACTCGATGAAGGTGTTTTCAACGTGCAGGTAAGTTCTGGCTCATTGTGTCAATAAAGCACCACCGTCAGCAACTGTGATTCTGGGAGAGACGAACATCAGGAAACAGTCAAACCCACAAACACCTCGTAGTTAACTGTAGACCTGATGCCCAACTTTCACCTCCTTTGGAGTCCCTTCTGCTGCCAGCTGTTTGTTCGTCCTGCATGTTGGCGTCCTGGGACTCCCGCGTAGCCTGGTTTGGTTTGGACCATGGTGCTGGTTATTCAGGAAGAGTCTTTCACAAGTAGGAGATTCTCATTTTGCTAGGGCAGTATTTAGCTGTCTGCCTTTCCTTGTTTTCTTTGCCCACAAAAGTAGCTTTTCATTTTCTGGTAAGTGGATGAGGATAATGGAGTCTGTCAGCAGAAGGGATGCTCAAAGCTCGAGGCCCTGAATGCTGTCCCAGAATTTTCATCCTTCATAGTCAGTAACACTTATTCAGAAGACTTCTCATCTGTGGGCCAGATTTAGGCAGGTAGACACTCACTGAGTGCTCCTCATGTCTGAGGCACTGAAAAGAGCTGATTCCAAAGAGCTAGTGGGCAAGGATCAATGTTTTCTATTGGGGATCTCCCTTCGTTTGGGGGTATCTGCTTTGTTCTGGGCAAGGTCACTGACGTCAAGCTGAGAGTGATAATTTTCAGAGTTCATCTTTGTCAAAGGGAAGATGCTGCGTAGTAGGAAATGATCAATAGCATGATGGCATCATGTCCTGTCTGCCCTCACCTTTTATATAGAAGGAAAAGTGAGCAAATTAAAATAAATAAACAAATGAATGAATGAATGAATATATTTATATCTATCAATCTGTATTTCTTCATATTTTTAATCTATGTTCATCTTGCCTATGTTTATTCACCCTTTCTCTCTGTCTCTGTCCATCTGTCTCTCTCTCTGTGTCTCTGTCTCTGTCTGTCTATACTGTAACATGGTTAGGAACACACTGAAAAGGAAATTAGTTTGATTATGAGAACGGTTTTGTCTCTGTGTTCCTAGGGTCTAACAAACACTAGGTGCTTAATGTTTGCTCGTAATTTCTTTCAGGTTTAATGGGAGTTTCATCGGTGGGGAGATTGTTCCCCCCAAAACAAAACATACATCTTTGATCTGTTGGTAATGGCACCCTATCCTCACCCCACCCAGCTGTCTTTATAGTCATGACTTGTAAAAGATAGCATGTGAACAAATGCTGTGCCATTTCAATCTAATTGACACGATGCTACAATAACATATAGGATGAGAAAACATAGAAGATGACAAACTCTGATGAATTGTTTTCTCAGTCACAGAGAGCACATAATTGTACAAACTTGCCTCTTCTTGGTCAGATGTAGTGAGCTACACGTGTGGACTATTGCTGACCCCTATGGGGGATGCCATTTTGTTAGCTAGGGCTCATTATCATAACTGTAATCATAATGGGGAGCTCCAGTTTCCTGGGCCTAACAAGACATTTAGGTTAAGATCCAGGGTCTATAAGAAAAGTTTGAGATGATTCAAATATTTGAAACAAACTAGAGCAAAGGAACCCTGCCTCATTTGGGCCACCCCTCTGCTCTCCAGGTAGAAGACTGAAATATTGACTGTGATGGCAGCTCTTTCCATCTCAAACACCACTGGGCAAGCCATGTGATATTTTTGGGCTTCAATTTCCTCATTAAAGACAGGAAAAATGGTCCCATAGATGAAAATATTCTTTGACAAGTTTTTTGTTTCTAGGTAAGTATTGGAAATAAAATAGCTAGGTGCCAATAAATTAGGGACTGGCTACACACATTATGGTATATGTTTGGCATGGAATCTCACCATGCAGTTAAAAAAAAGTGACAAATATATAAAATTCAGAGACATATGGGTAGACTTCTGAACTGGTGGAGAATGAAGAGTCCGTGAAACATGGTGGACAGTGACACTGATGGTGGAAATAGAACAATCACAATTGTAGTGAGCAAACTTGGCCCCTGAGAAAGATGGAGAAAATCCCATTGTCATCTTTTCATTGTAGAGATGTGGGAACTGTCAGTGTGGCACCCTGTTTACGCTGTCATACTTAATTGTTGTGTTGGTTAGTGCTGTTGAACCCTTCCTTTCTTCCTTCTTTTCTTCTTTCTTTTCTTCCTTCCTTCCTTGCTTTTCCTTGGACAAGGAGGCACTAAAAGATTTATTGGGAAATGAATGTTATGGAAAATCCGAAGATATAAAAAGGATGGTATTAAAATGAGGAGGTTGGATTACAAATCCTCTGAAATACCTTCCAGCTCTAGATTTATTATTCCCGTTACTCCTGCACCATGGTCTTCTGATACCCTGGGTCCTAATGTGACCTTCCCCACCTTTGAATGTGTTTAACCTTGCAGAGGCTGGCACTGTGGCCCAAAGACCTTTGATCATGGAAACTTGCCCTTCCCCACCACCTCTGCCAGCCAAATTAACCCACAGTCCTTGTGTTCCTCACCTAGAACACGACCAGAATACATGGCCTTGGAGTGGTCAGATTTCCCTACCAAGACAGATTTCCATGTAAACATATCACAGTGCTGACTAAAGTTGTGATGTCTGCCAGGCCCCTTTTTTGGGTGCCTCTGAGGCCCTGGGTCAGCAAGCCCTGGAAAGTTTGCAAGTCTATTTGAGATCATGGTAGCCACAAATTCCTTTGGGATTATTTAGTCCTTCAAACCCTCAACATGTGTGTCAGTGGCATGACTGAGTATTTTTATGAGGCAGGTGGTAGGACTCTATGGACCCTGTCTGCCTGTCAGAAGGCTGGTTTTCACCATGAATCATCTGATGATAACATCCATGGAAGAGGAGGGACAATTCAGGGATGCACAGATCAGTGAGAAGCAGCAGGGTTTTGTTCTGTACAGGCAGCTCTCTTGTATACCTTGAATACTTAGATGCTGAAAGGAGGCAGTCTCTTTCTCTTGGACATGTTTTTTAATAGAACAATGAGAGAGAGAGAGAGAGAGAGAGAGAGAGAGAGAGAGAGAGAGAGAGATGCAGACACAGATAGAGACAAAGAGAGATGGAGATAGAGACAGAGAGAAGGCTCATAAGTTTAGATTGGGAAGGGAACTGAAAAAACCATAATCCAATCTCTTTATTTTACTTATGTGGAAACTGAGGCCCTGAGAGGGAAAGTGAGTCACTCAAGATTACCCACCTAATAAGTGTTAGAAGAGTGATTTCAACAGAGGGAGGGGGGAAAGGTGGGAAAGGGTGCTACGAGCAAGATCAGGGTGAAGAGGACAAGAGGAAAACAAAGGAGAGAGAGGGTTAAGGAAAAGAGAAAAGAAAGTGAGACAAAAGCAGAGAAAGTATCCCATTTCCCCCTCATCCCCAAGAGTTCTTAAACTGAGGTCCCTTCTTTTTGTTTTTCTTTCCATTCTTACATTTGGATAAATATTTCCACAAAACTGGCTTCCTTTGTAAGCTTCTGTGCTTTACTCATTATTCTGAAAAAAAGGCCTTGGGCTCTACTGGACTCAGAAGGGTTCTGTGGAACACACACACCTCAACGCATACACTCGTGCATGCTCACACACCCCTCAAAGACCATCCCATTTCCACATCTACAGAAGAGCGTGGATGATTTATGTGAAGGGCTTCATTAATAGGGTGCTTGAAGGTGTGCAGAACCCTCAACACATCCTGTATCCTCTACTTGATAATAAACCTATTATTATCCCCATTTCACAGATGAGGAAATCGAGGGTCAGAGAGGTTGACCACACAGCTACTAAGTGTCTGAGGGGGGATTTGAACTGAGGTCTTCCTGACTCCAAGTTCAGCCATTGAGGCTGCTAAGTTTGTATTTGTTGGTTGAGCTAAAGCAAACATGTAGAATTGGGCTACAAGCATATCTGATGATCTCAGTGTTTCAGGAGACGACGTCTCCTTCCCCTTGTTTCTTCTTGCTGCAAGTTCCTCAGTGACACCATCTAGGTTGATTTTCCCTTATAAAACTGACTTTGTAGTTGTGCCTAGCACATAATTAGATGCCTACAAATACTTGTAGATTATTGATGGATTTATTTAGAGTTGTTTTTGTTCATTCATTTCAGTCATGCCCGACTCTCCATGACCTCATTTGGAGTTTTCTTGGCAGAGATACTGGAGTGGTTTGCTATTTCCTTTTCCAGCTCATTTTACAGATGAGGAAACTGAGGCAGACAGGGTTAAGTGACTTACCCAGAGTGACACAGCTAGCAAGTATCTGAGACCAGATTTGAACTCAGGTCTTCCTGATTCCAGCCCTGGTGCCCTATCCTAGCTGCCCCTAGCTGATTTAGAGTAGCAATAGCATATTCTTTTCCAACATTTTCCAAGAGTAGTAGCTTGGTGTAATGAAAAGAGTCCTGGACTTGTAGTGATGGTGTCTCATGCTTATTAGGTATGTGATCTTTGCTAAGACAGTCTCTCTCAGCTTCACTTTTGTCCTCTATACTATACATATTTATATGGCCTCTGAGTTCTCAGTCCAGGTCCACAACTGTGATACCATGATCCCTTCAACTGGAAATTAGAGTCGACTTGTGTGTTTACAACTTTTCTACTTTATAAGAGCCATCAAATAGGTTTGATAAGCTATGGGCACTTGGACTGGAGATCTACAGGAATGGCAAGAGATGGATGGCACCTCTGGAGAAAGCAGCCATGAGGATCATGTTGTCAAAGGCCAAGGAATCTTTTTAATGTCCCAGACACCTTGACAAGTCTGCTGAGACCTATGGAGCTTTTTTTAGAATAATATGTTTAAGTATGTTAATATTTAATTAATAATATATTAAATGCATAAAACAATTCATAGGGTTACAAAAGGTATTGTAATATAGATTTTTTTTATCTATCATTTATCTCTCCATTCATTCAGATAGAAATATCTCTATTTCTGTCTCCCTTCTTCTCTCTCTCTCTCCCTCTCTTTCCCTCTGTCTGTCTGTCTCTCCCTCCTCTTTCTTCCTTCTTCTCTCTCCCTCTGTCTCTCT